ATTGATACCATTCAATTTAGAATTAATTTTCAATATGAAATTATTTATTGCTAATAAATTCATATTACTCAGAGTATTGGATTTAATGCATTGTGTGAGTACACCAACAATTTGTTCTGATGCTTGTTTAACAATTCCTAAAMCAAAATATATGCAATTAAATCTAAGTATAAAAATAAATTATTTAGAAATTAARCACAACAACTAATGATAAAATGTTTAAAATAGAAAAGAGCAGGGGCATACATTTATTTAGTTTAAGATGAAGCAAAAAGTTTGTCGGCCCAATAATCATTTTATTAAAGTAATAGATATAGTAACAGATATATTACAAAGACAAGTCTTACCTGTTATTATTTTGTTTTTATAAATGAAATTTATAATTACCATAAATTGAAGAAGAAGAATTTGTGGGGACAATAACCAAAAACAAATTTGTATTTTTCTTCTGTGTTTTGAAAATATTAGTTACTTCTTTGAGACCTTTATTTACAGTCCAATTTTTTTTTAAAAAACAGTTAATTATAGAACTCACTGGACTCACATTAAAATTTAGATTTTTACCACTATGTATCAAGTATTGTTCAAAATTCCTGAAATTAAATGAAAAAATAATTTTGTAATTTTATTGAAATGTAATAATGATAATTTTATAATWTTACCTAATGTCTGAATAGCTGATATACTGATCCATATTCAATATAACCCATCGTCTAATTTGTACTGCTTTAGAAAACTCTTTTGGATTCCAAACACCAGATTTAGGTATAACTTCCTTAAACATAATTTTCAAACGTAAAATATAATTCAATATGAATTACATACAATAATAAAAATAAATATTAAAGACATAGTTAAGTATTTTTATATAATACAAGAAATCATAAAAATTACAACAAATTAGAACTGTAAAAATTCAATTTATCATTGTACAACATGTGAAAATATGAATCGTAAAATCCCAAGATATATGATTTTAGAACCGACATTTTAAACTCAAAATTTTGATTGAGCAAAATATATAGAA